GGTGAGAAAGTCAGCAATTGTTCAGGACTCGTGCGCTGTGACACTTCTGTATTTTTATGCCTGATTTTGTAAGCAAGGTTCAGTGAGGTGAAACGTGGGGTACGCGAGACACATCAGCCTCCTGAAAGGGGGACAGGAGTCTGGAAAGGTTGAGTGCCAGTGGCTTGCAGTTGTCAGGAACTGTGTCCTGGGCACAGAGCTCCCTTTGTGACCACTTCCTCCCCCCCCCCCCCCCCACCGGGGTTGGCACACCAGAACTTGCTGCAAAGTCTAGTTGTTAGAGGGGCTGGAGAGAAAGGGACGATGGTGCGGCTCTCGGAGCTAGGATCAGGTTACCTGGGCCAGTCACATCTGGCTACGGGTGCGGGGGAGCCAAGGGCCAGGCTGCAGGGGAACTGAGCAGCGCAGACCCTGGGGCTAAGAGGAGAAGAGGGTGCCGGAGTCGCTGCTATTTCCCTGGTGTAGTGTGCGACCCTCTGTAACCCAGAACCATCCTGGCCCCCACGGTGTAAAGATGGCTCCACCGCCCTCCTTCTGCTCTGACTCTGAGCTGATTGAAGGTCATTGGCCTGGAGCAGGGAGCTTTCTGCAGCTTCCTCTCCCCAGCCCACATCCACCTTGTCAACAAAACAACTTCCTGGTGAGCGCAGGCTGTGGCCCGGCACTGGCTGCGTCTCTCAAGGCTACTTGCTGTGGGTGAGCTCACCCTGCACCAGTGCAACCCAAGTGGGGAATTCAAACGGGGCGCGTGAAACCCGTGCAACCCTCAGGGTGGCTGCTCCGGTTTGGGTTGAAGAACAGCTTGTTGGTGCTTAACCTAACGCTGTTCCCGCCGGCTAGAGGAAAGCCGAGGACCCACGCAGGTTTGCACTGTTCAACGGACTTGGGTTTTAAATCGATGTGAATGGCATAAATTTCCCCCTGTAGACAAGTCTGTTCTGAGGGTGCAATGTGCAGAGGCACAAAGGGGCCCGGGAACGCGATCGCTCCCCAGAGCGAAAACTGGGGGGGTGGCAAAGATGAAGGGACTTGCCCTGCACTGAAGCCGTGTGGTCCGGAGACTTGGGACCTGCCGATTCAGGGTTGTCTGAAGAATTTCAGTGGGTCTGTGTGAGTGGGGCTGGCTGTGCGAGCGGGGCCGGCTGTGCGAACACAGAGCAGGAGACTCTCCTGCAGCGGCTGCCTCTCCAAACCCTTCCCAAGTGCTGCTAGTGCCGTAGCTGTTCTGTGCCCTGCGCAGGGCTCACCTCCCGGTCACGGCTCAGGGGTTATGTCCCCTGTTTCTCCAGGCAAGGGCAGCTCCATTTCTGGCCTTGGGGCAGAGAAACTTGGCGGGCCGAGTCTCCTTGTGCTGTCGTTTACCCAGTGCGAAAGGCTGCCGTTCTGACACGGGCTGCTTTATGCCTGCTCTGGAATGGGTTAAACACCTGCCCAAGGTGCAGGGCAGCGGAAATGGTGCCCACGGGGCTGGCAGCTCACTGTAGCTCTATGAGCCTCTGGAGCCTGGCGTGTGACCCCCTCTCCCCTGGCTCGTCAGCCCGCCGTGACTCATGAGGCGGATGTGAACCTGCCCTGCTGAACTGCTGCTCTCAAACCACAGAGGCCTGTCTGGGGAGGGCGTGTGCTCGGGGTCACAGCAAGGTGGTAACTACGCTGCTGGCTGCGATGTGATGTCTCAATTGCTGGCCGGTCTCTGCCCGGTCCAATGGCAGGTCACACGCTTCCGGAGGGGCGGGGAGGGGTGTGTGAGAAACTCCAGCAGGTAAATACTCACTCAAATACCCGCCTGTCTATTGGCAGGGAGGCAGCAACGTGCATTTAAACTTGGCCGGGCACGCTGGAGTGGCCTCTGATGGGAATAGAATTGATTCTTTGTAATCGCCCCCTGGTGCTCGGTGCTGTACGCTCCTGGGACCTGCTCACACCAGTGGGTCACAGGGCGACACAGTTCCTGGCCCAATGAGGTCACGGTCTGATCGGTGGCTCAAAACTTCCTCTCTCAGGTCCTATGTGTCTGGGATCATAGAACAAAACCCTCAGCAAACAGGTTCACAGTCTCCCCCGCCCCCCCTTGTGTCTGGAGCCGAGTGAATCATCGCTCCTCTCCATGACTCCCTCTGTTCCAAGGAAAGAGGAGGAACTCAGTGGAGCTGGGCTCCTGTTGGCAGCGGGAAGTAAACGAGCGTGCGCCTGGGTCAGGTCCTGCCAGCAGTGGGCAGAGTGTGCCAGACACCAGCCCAGTGAGCTCTGGTGCATTGAAAAGCCTGCCAGGCTTTTTCAAACAAACCCCTGGCAGCTTCAGTCGAAGGTCCCGATCCTGCGATTAGCGCCACCCAGGAGCAGAAAGTGTCACCGCGGCTCCCTTGCCGAGATCGGGGCCAAGGGGAGCCGGGAGCTGGGGCTTTCCCCTGCATCCTGCCTCTTTGCCTTGCTCCCGCTGCGCTCCAACGGGACGGGGGGGAGCTGAGCATGCCAACAAATAACGGCGCCTCTCCGACCTCGCACGCGCATGGCTTGGGCACTAGGGCCTTGAGCCCCATTGAGGCCAGTGGGTTGGATCAGGCCCCTGGGAGGGGACTGCTTTGGGGCAGGGGGTGTCTCTGGGTTCGTGGGGGGCCCTGGTCTAGGACTGAGGCTCCGAGGCGCTACCCCGTGTAAATAATGGCACCAAACGCCCGCAGCCAATGCAGCGTCCTGGGGTTCGGGTTATTGCGTCTCGCGGCACAGCCGCTGCTCGGGTGTGAGCCAGAGTGAAACTGCGGGTGGCAGAGCCGGTCCAGCCTGTTCTGGGTGACTCACCGAAGGCTCTGGCCGGAACAGCTTGTGCTGGGAACAGGTCTTCGCGGGGGGGCGGGCGCCTGTTGCCCTGCCTGGCACCCGCAGCGCTGGAGGTGTCATGGGAGGCTCGAGCTTCTGAATCTAAACACGGAACTTCCCACAGCTTCCTCCCCTCCCCGGCTCCCTGATCCACCAGCCGAAGGGCTGGTGCATGGGCCCCACGGAGGCCTTCCGCTGCCTGCCCTGGGAGCGGCGTGACGGGCTTGTCTTGTCTGGCAGAATAGCTGGGCATGGGAAACTGCTTTGATCCCTTTCTTTTCTAACTCCTCCCTCCTCTTCCCAGTCCCATGGGCACAGGGACACTGGCTGAGGGGCTGGGCACAGGGACTTGTTTCATTGCTACCTGCCTTTTAAAGGGGACTTACAAAGCGGGGGGGGGGAACTGAGCCTGAGTCTTGCTTTATGGTGGCTCCAGCCGGAAAGGGTTAAAATAAACAAATGACTGCTCGGCATGGTGCCTGGGGGGCCTGGCTACCCCATGGGGGGGGGAACAGCTTGGCATGTGGCAGGTACTTGGGGAAGTGAGGTCTGATTTACCGAGATCCAAGGGATTTTTATGGGGCCTGTTCAACTCTGAGAATTAGCAGTGGGGACCCCCCCAGGGAGCTGGGACGCAGAGTCTGTTAGCTGGCAGCTTTCCTGCCTCTTGGGGGAGGAGCGTGTTGTAAACAGGCCAGGACCTCGGAGCCTCCTGGGGGTTGCTGTTGTATTGGAGAAAGCTGGTCAGGTTTGCATCTGGGCAATTCAGGGCTGTTCCCGCGCTGGGGGCCTCTGAACGTGCAGCCCCGGCGCAGGGATTGCACAATGCCTCTTGACGGGGGATTTATGTGAACAAGCGTGGCTCTGTCCAGGCGGGAGGGGCCTCGCTGTGGAAGGATTGCTGGCTCCTTTGCCCGCTGGGTGTCTGACACCCCCGTGCTCTGTCCCAAGCAAGACGAACGCGCTGGTGTGCTGCTTGCCTCCCAGCCCCGTGGGGTGACCCTAGGGCCGCCCTTCGCTTTGCTTGTCTGGACAGCGCAGCTGCTGGTTTGGGGGGGGTGCAGCGAAACGCCAAACGCTGCTCCGGCTGCATGCGGGCTCTTCGGCTCCCCACAGCACGGTGGGGCTCGGACCAGGCGCTGACAGGGGAGGGGACGGACGAGACCTGGTTCCACCTTGGCCTTTTCAGAAACAACACAGAAAGGAGGGTGGGCAAACCCTGAACAGCCGCTCTGAGCATTTCCTGCTTTCCCCTCGGCCTCCTGCCAGGCCTTTGCTAAATCCCTGTTTACCAACCGCAGGGCTGAAACCACGGGACCGGGTGTGGAACCAGGAAGCACTTGGGGTGTCTAATTTAGAAACTGCTTTGCAAGAAGTGCTCTGAAAACAACAAAGCATGGAGCCAGCCAGAGTGCCTGTGGGGGGCAGCCCCTCACCGTTACTCGCAGCCCTGGAGAGAGCCGGGGTTCTTGGCACACCCTGGCCCTGGGCTCCACCCTGCAGAGCAACGTGGGCTGAAATGCTGCAGCTCTGGCCCCGTTCTCGGCCTGGCATCCCAGGCAGTCGCTTGCACCACGTGCTGATTTGCTAGTCCCTGGCGTCCAGCACTCACTTCGCTCTAGCGCAGGGGTCTCAAACGTCCTGGCACTGCGACCCCCTTCAGACAACGAAAATTACCACCTGGCCCCAGGACTTCACTGCCCTGGGTGGGGGGATCAGAGCCACGGCCCAAGGGCTTCGGCCCCGGGCCCCAGCAAGTGTAACACCAGCCCTGGTGACCCCATTAAAACTGGGTCCCAACCCACAGTTTGAGAACCGTTGCTCCAGCGTGTGCCAAACCCCAGCGGATGGGAGCAGTTCTGAGTGGCGCTGGCTCTGCAGTGGTTAGATGGCTGCCAAGGGGAAAGCCCCCTCCGTGCAGTGTCCTCTTCGCTGAGCTGTTGCTTCCCGGCCGGCCCCTCGTGCACGGGAGGAGCTCCCTGTAGGCAAAGCCACTTCATTGCCCTGGGTGTGCTGAGAGCGCGGGGGGCCTGCCACGCTGACCCGCTGTCTGCGTAGATCTCCCCGTCTGTCGGGCCGGCTGCACTGTGCCAAGATTGCCGGCTGCTGGGGGCAGGGCCTGTCTGGGTTCACCTAGAAACATGAGCTTATCGCTGATGAGACACCTCTGCTTTGGTCTCCAGAGCGCTGCCTCTTGCCCAAGGTGGTGGGCAGGTGCCGGGCCTCCTTCCCACGCTGGTGGTACAACGCTACAAGCCGGACGTGCCAGCGTTTCACCTACGGCGGCTGTGGGGCCAACCTCAACAACTTCCTGGTGGAGGACGAGTGCCGGGTAACATGCGCTGTGGCCACAGGTGAGGGTGCGGGGGGTCCCGCTGTTGTTTTGGGCTGCGGCCCCGTGTGGCCTGGCTACTGCGTAGCTTGGCGGAAGGTCTAGGGAGCTGTGGGGTGCCTGCCCCTCTTCCTTGGGCTGCTCGGGCGTGGCACACACCTGCCAGGCAGGGACCAAGCGTGGGCAGAACAAGACTAGGGAAGAAACGTCTCTCACCCCTGAGCTGCTCAGAGGCCCGATGGGGCTGGGCTGGGACTCAGTCTGGGTAATGGACAATAAATGCCCTGGCTCTGTTCGGACTGGGAGCAGCTGGTTGCAGGGAACCGTGAGCTGGGTGCAAGGCAATAGATCTCCAGGGGCGGTACCAGGAGCTAGTGGGCACTGATGCTGTCTCCTCTAGCGGGCTGGCCTGGTGTAGGGGAAACGTTTGGCTTGCGCGGTTCGCTCGCAGTGTGGGTCTGACGTCCAACCCCCTTGATTTCCAGATGGGGAGGACTTGAATGAGATTCCGCAGGCCAGCCAGAGAACAGGGCACAGTGCAGATGGTGAGCATTGGGCGGTGGGGCTGCCTTCCTGGGGGGAGCCCCTGCCACTTGGGGGTTTACTATGATCTGTAGGGACCAATCCTGCTCCCCACCCTGGGACAGAGCCCCCTTGGGGCTCTCCCAGCCCTGACTCTGATAAACGGGACATGCCGTGCGGGGCCGGGCTCCTTTCCCATGCGGAGCCTCGAGATAAGCAGCTACCAGGAATGTGACCTCCTGGTGAACCCGGAACATCTGATGGGGGATTGCTCAGCGCCCTGCTGACTGTGGCCCAGCCCTGGTGAGCCCCGCAGCCTGTCCAGGGCTGGCGTTCCCCTTAGCCAAGCTGGACTGTGGGCACTGACTGTGGTGGCCTGCCCCGCCCTTCCCAGTGACCATCAACTGCTGTTCCTCCTGGCCCCTGGCTTCCCATCCCCTTGAGAGACGGGTCTGTGTGTCAGATCTGGAGTCCCTCAGCCCCTCTCCGGCTCTTTTCCTGCCCCCTGAGGTGGGGAGAACGCTCAGGCCGGGGTTGCTGATCTCTCCTCCCCCCGGGGGCTGCCTCGTGCCCTGCGGTGAGTCCCTGAGACGCAGCCTGGACCGACCCCACCTGAGTCTGAATAAGCAGCCAGGTATTGCTGGAGAACAATCGGTAACGGCTGCCATCGGCCCCGAGCTGCTCCCGTGTGACCGGCGCGACTCCGCAGCATCCAGTCCAGTGCTCTGGGGCTGAGTGGGGGTGTAAAAGCCGCCCCGGTGCCTCTCCTTAGGCGGGGCACATGGGCAGCGCTTAGGGCCTGAGATCCGCAGCTTTGAGTCCTTGTGCCTGGCACGAGTCTGCAGAACGGGAGCGGGGGCCATGAAGGACTGAGGCACACAGGGGGCTGCAGGGCTCAGTAGGGACCCGCCCTGCAAAGGGGGCTGGAGCTGGTTCTGTGGCAGCTCTGGGTGTTGGATCGGCTGCTGTGAGGGGCCGGCCTGGAACCCCCTGACGTGCCCGTTCTCTCTCTCTCTCTCCCCCTCACAGAGGAGCCCACCAGGCGCGTCCAACCGGCCAACGACTCTTTCCCCTACGCAGGTAACGTTTCTCCACGTCTCTGGGGAGGCCCGTCTGCCCCACGGGCTGGGCTGCGAGGCCACCTGCCGGGTGCCCAGAGAACTGGCCGCGCTGTCCCCTCGCTGAGCGGCGACTCGCAGGGAGATCTGAGGGGCGTTGGCGGCAGCAGAGACGAGGGGCTCTGTTCCCTGCGCTCCTGTGGCCGCGTCTGTCTGCTGCACTTCTGTGGGGCCAGGACAGACGCTGGCTGGAACTGGTGACCTAGGCCTGAACTCCCCTGGAGGCAGGTTACCGAGCCTGCCCCACTGGGACGATGCGCCGGGTCCTGCTGGGGGCAACTGCTGGGGGGTCCCCTTGACGTGCTGGGCTCGGCACCTGGGAGGTAACCGTGCCCCCCCGCTCCAGGCGACGACTTAACGCTGCTCCCTCGCCCTGCCTGGCCAGAGCGCCCCCCCGGCCTGTGTCGCGCCCCCTTCCCGCGCTGGTGGTTCGACGCGGAGATGAAAACCTGCCGTCAGTTCACCTACGGGGGCTGCGGAAGCGACCGGAACAACTGCCTGAGTGAGGCGGAGAGTCTGGCCAGGTGCTCGGGTCCGTGCGGCCCAGCGTGGGCCTCCAGGTCCCGGGACTGCACCTCCTAACGCCCAGACACCGCATGCTACAGGGCTAGGAGCACGGGACGTCCCTGGCGACCTCTGTCCCTGCCCCACCAAACCGCACGGGACGGGCTGAGCCGACTGACCAGGGAGGTGCTCCTGGCACGGGGGGGGGCACCTCCTTGTAAGGCCGCCCCGGTGCTGTGGGGCAGTGCCCTCTCGCTGTGGGGCAGTGCCCTCTCGCTGTGGGGCAGGGAGTGGGGAGCCAAGGCCCTGCGTTAATGCGCTGACCTCTCGCCCCCAGAGTCCTGTGCTGCGCCCCGCCTGACCGGCCCCTGCCGCGCTGCCTTCCCGCGCTGGTACTACGACCCGGCCGCCCGGGCCTGCAGGCAGTTCATCTACGGGGGCTGCAAGGGGAACAAGAACAACTACCTGCAGGAGGAGCTGTGTCTGCGCCAGTGCAGCGGGGCCGCAGGTGAGGGAGCCGCTTGGTGCCCCCCGTGGGGCAGGGTTTGGGGGGGCGGGCGGAGCTCTGGATTGGCCGGCACGGCCCTGGGGGTCGCTGTTCACGTGGGGCGCTGGGCCAGGCCCTTGGCTGGCCGCTGACCCTGGGAGTTGGAAGATGCTCGAAGGCTGCGGCCGGTGGGGGGGCCAGGCAGGGAAGGGGCCGTCTAGGGCGCAGCCCGTCTCAACTCGCTTTTCCCTCTCGCAGGGGGTGCTGAGGGGTCCGAGCCGGGCGTTCACTCCAGCAGAGGTAAGCGGCGCTCGACCCCTCTGTCTGCCACGTGGTCTGGGTGGGATCCCCTTGGCCGGCTGGCTCCCCCCGGGCCTGGGGGTGGGGACGTGGGCAGAGCCGTGCCCTGGCTCCAGCTGGGGTCTCCCCATGCCTTGGCTGGGCCAAGCCCCTGCTGGTCAGCTCAGGCTGTGCCGGGAGGGGTCTGGGGCCGCGGACTCAGGGCAGGAGTCTGCCCTCAGCAGCTGCCATGTATTCCCGGCTCTGCTCGGCAGGGCCTGGTGGGGACTCGCCGCGGGCTCCGAACCCTGCGGCTCACCTGGCCCTCTTCTCCCCGCAGTGGTGGCCCTGGCCGTGCTGCTGGCCATCCTCGTCGCTGTCCTGCTGGGCTCCGTGGTCGTCTTCTTCGTCTGGCTGTGCAGGAGGAACCAGGAGCTGTCTCTGAGTGTTCCCTGGAGCCCCCTGGACGACAAGGAGTACCTGATGAGCAACGCCTACACGCTGTGAGGCCGGGCAGCCGGCCCATGGGCTGCCCCTGCTCCGCTGGGCTCCGGCCGGGACCTGGGCCTCGGCCGTGTGTACCTAGCAGAGAGTGACTGGAGCTGGGTGTGTGGGAATGTCCCTGGGTTATAAACTCCCCGCGCCAGCAACTGCTGCGTGTTTGTGTCCCGGCCACACGGGCGGGGCCTTCGCTGCACCCGGGCCTCTTCTCAGGGGCTTGCTTCCATTTTTTTAAACTTTTTTTACCAGAATAATTAGTGTGAAACTTGCTAGTGGCAGACGCTTGGGGTCTCAGACGCCTGCCCATCCGTCCGCAGACAGCAGGGCCTCGCTGGGGCCGTTTCTCTGCTTAACAAGCCTTTAGAATCGGGGGGTGGGGGTTCGGTTGGGAGAGATTTAAATAGCCAGATCCCCGAGTGCCAGCCGCATGCTGCCCGTGCCTGCCTGTGGGGCCCCGTTCCCTAGAGCGCGGAGCGGCCGCTGGGGGTCCCGCCCTGCGGGGCTGCTCAGGGAGTTGGTAGCAGGATGTCCCCAGCATGGGCGGCGTCTGGAGCCAGCAGTGCAGGGATAAATGCACAGTGGGGGGGGGGGGGGGGAGCTGTGTGCCCCCAGGCAGGGGGTCTGGAATTCTCTGAGCAGCCTGCCCAGCCCCAACGCCCCCCCTGCTCTGCCTCCTGGTGCCACTGACCAGCTGATCTGCCTGGGGGACCCCATCTCCCCATGGCCCCGAGGCACCTATAGGGTAGCTCCTCCCCAGCGTGGCAGGGACATGGGGTCATGGGATTGGGACGGCAGCACTGTGGCTGCGGGTGGGGTGGGTGACCCAAACCCTGGCCCTGTAACCTGACGTAACGCCCTAGGACAGGGAGCTCCTGGGCTGGAGGGGTCCGGCACTGCCTGGGCCTTGGCTTCCTTGGGGGTATGTTTCCCCCTTCCTACCACGTGTCTGAGCTGGGTCCCCCACGGGCCCAGCCCAGCAGCTGTGGCTGTAGCCCTGAGAGACAGGCAGCCGCTTGCTTGAGACCCGCTCCCTGCCCCACGGGCTCCCAGGGACACTGAGGGGGACCAGCTGGAGTTCCCACCCGCCTGGTTCTCCCACACCGCTGGGAGTGTGTGGGGCACAGGCCCTGTTAACTCTGCAGCCATGGGGCTGTCACCTGCCCTCAGGGCAGCCGGAATAGGGGCGAGGGCAAGTCCAGGCTGGGGATTCCAGCCACGTTGCCCCGTCCCTGCAGAGCGGTGCTCCTGGTCCGTGGTCGAGCAGGGCAGTTCTGGCCTGCAGGCCGCTCCAGTGGCCGGTTCTAACCGGAGCTGGGTGCAGCCCACACTCCAATGCCTTGCCATGGCATAAACCTCATTGAAACACACCAGGAACCCATCTGGCTCGGTCTCCGCAGAGTTGGGACTGGGGGGCGCTCATTTCCCCCCTTCCAGCTCTTCCTCTGCTCGGTGTCTGACGCCAGCCAGCACCTGGGCCCGTAGCAGCCGCCCGGCTCTGGGCAGGGCCTGGTCTAGTGTCTGAGACCCATGTCGTGGGTGTCGCTGGCAGGGTTGTTTTATAGTGGGGGACGTAGAGCTCGCCCGAGTGCGAGGGGCAGAGTCTGGGCACTCGGCCAGGCTAGCTGTTAAATTTGTTTTTTACAGTGAGATTTCTTTGAATAAATGAACAAAGGAAACAGTTCTGCTCCTGTGCCTGCCTCGAGCCGGGGCCTGGCCCTACCCGAACATCTGTGAGCGTCGCTCCGAGTGGGTCTCCACACGCTGTAGCGCTTTAATGGGGCTGCTCTGAGGGCACAGGAGAGCCCACCCTCACCCCCCATGCAGGAATGGCCCTCCCAGCCCTGTAGCGCTGGGGGATCTGGAATCGCTGGGGCCAAGCGTCGCCCGTTGTCTCCCTGCCCAGGCTGGGCTGCAGCGCCAATGCTGGGGCTGGGGGGGGGGCCCACAACCCCTCCACATGCAGCAAAATGCAGCACTGAGCGATCAGCTCTGTGAGCAGTGCCAGCCTCCTCCTCCCCCCCCCCCCCCATGTCGCTGCAGGCTACTGGCCCCCCCGAGCCCCTGGGCTGGACGGCAGAGCCGGCTGCTAAGAGACACGTGCAGTGCGATGGTACCAGCGATGCAGCCCAGGGCTGGCACCGTGCTGGGTTAGCCCAGGCCAAACCGCGCCAAGCACTGAGCTAAGCCAACCTTGGCCCTGGCCCATTTAGCTGAAGCTCGTGGGCAGGGGCCTTTGGGTGAAGCCGGAGATCTCGCTGCCCCGAGCGGCGCTGGAAGAAACCAGGGAGTGAGGTAGCTGGGCCCAGTGGTCACAGCCCGTGGCCCTGTCCAGGCTGTTGCTGGCCGGGTTCCAGGCTGTGCCAGACACGGGTCCCTGACACGCTTGTGAAACACGCTGGGGGCTGCTGCATAGCTCCGGGGGCGCTCTCCAGTGCCTGTCCGAGGCAGAGCGGGTTGGAGGTGGGAGGAGAGTCAGTATAAAATGGAAACGGGCTGGTGCTGAAGCTCTTTATTTGCACAGGACCCCATGGGTCATGGAGGTGTCCAGGCTGCACCACACGGCCATGTCCCCCCCTCAGCCCCCGTGGGCTCCTCTCTCAGTGGAGGGGACCAGTCTCCTGTGTCTCCGGTGCCTGTGGAGCAGGGCCCTGGGCAGAGCGCTCTGCTCCCATGATCGTTGCTCCTCATTGCCCAGAGGGGGCAGAGCAGAACTGAGAGCAGCCCTGAGGCTACTCTAACTGCGTAGGACCCAGCACAGCGGCCTGCACCGCTGCCGAGGGGCTGGTTAACGGCTTCGTGCCTCCTCCAGCAGCTAGCTCCATATTAGCCCCAGTGCATGGGGCAGAAGGAGGCAGAATCACTGGAGGCCCCACAAAGGGGAGAAGAACCCAGGTGTCCTGGCGCCGGATCCCAGCCACGGCCCAGGCTGCCTGCCCTGAGCCCGCAGCACCAGCGCTGCCTCTGTCCCTCAGAGTGTGGGGTAGGGGACAGCGGCCACGTGCCCCTCCCACGCTCCAGCAGCTGGGCACAAGTTGTGACCCCTGAGGCCCTGGCCCGCTGGGCAGCGAGAGGCTGGCTTCCTTTGTTCTGCCAGCTGCTCCCACAGGTCCCTCAATGGCCAGGGTTCAATACGGTGCCCGGCTGGCTTCCTGCAGCCTGCGCTGGGTTGTGTGGCTCATGGGGGTGGCAGCAGGAGCTTCCTACGCGGGCACCCCCACCTCTGACCTCGCGGCTCTGCCATGGCCGAGTATCTGCCATGTGCTCGTCTTCCCCAGCCGCTGCGCTGGGAGCAGGTCCACGGCCGGCCCAGCACTGCTAGGAGATAAAGCTTGTGTCAGAGACATTCGGCCCGTTGCGGCCGGAGCCCAGCCTGCACGCGCTGCCCCAGGCCCAGCCCTGCCGCTGTTAGTCGGACCGTGGGCAATACGGGGGCCCCACAGCTGTGCGGCCCTGGACAAAGCCCTAGGCCTCCCCCCAGAATCACCCAGCTCCGCCTACGGCCTCGGCTTAGCGCTTGGCACAGGCCTGTTCTGTTGCCCGCAGGGCCAGGCGGGGGGGAACGGGCCCAGCTGGGGGCTCCTGCTAACGTGGGCTGGGCCGGGGCCCCTGCTGGCTCAGGGCTGTTCCCGGGTGAGCAGCCAGGCCCCCCAGGGACCCCGAGAGTTCACAGAGCAAAGGCTCAGTGCCGGTTCTGTACCTGGGCTGCCGGGCGGGGCCTGGAACCAGCAGGTGCTCACCTGACGAAGATGTAGAGCATGTGGCCTGGGTCAGAGACGAACACCCTGCAGGCGGGAACAGTGTCAGCTAGGGCCCATCCCCCTGGCCTCTGGGCCCCACCAACCTTTCTTCTGGCCTTTCTACTTTCCTCCTGGCCTCCCTGAGGGCGTCGGCCCCCCCTTCACACAGACCCAGCTGCCCCAGGGGGAGGTGGCAGCAGAGACGGTTCCTGAACCCAGCTTGCCTGGGGCCAGGCCCAACCCTGCCTCGTGCGCCACGGGGCTTGGTCACCGGCTCCAGCCGCGCTGGCAGCATGAGTCACCCGCTGAGCCCGGGGAGATCCACGGCCACCCCCTGCTATCCGCTGCCGCGGGGGTGACACGCCAGAGGGGGCTGAGCTTGGGGCAGGCTGGGAGCCAGGACTCCTGGGTTCTCTCCAGCTGGGGGGGGGAGGGGGAAGTGGGGTCTAGTGGTTAGAGCGGGGGGGGCGGGGCTGGGAGCCAGGACCCCTGGGTTCTCTCCAGCTGGGGGGGGGAGGGGGAAGTGGGGTCTAGTGGTTAGAGCGGGGGGGGCGGGGCTGGGAGCCAGGACCCCTGGGTTCTCTCCAGCTGGGGGGGGGAGGGGGAAGTGGGGTCTAGTGGTTAGA